CATTGAGGGGCACTGGGCCTCTAAGTGTCACAAACATTTTCAATGGAGTTTTCTTGGCCTCAGCAATGACGGCAAGGACACACGCAACTTTGCGCATCAGGTTGCCATGGCTGATCGTCCGGCATCGCCGAAGCAACAAGGACACACTCAGTCCTACTCCATCGATTCCCACTGGTACATGGATTCTGGGGCAACGGAGCATCTGACGAACGAGATGAGAAAGCTTCATACTCATGAACCCTATCATGGATCCGACAAGATCCACACCGCCAATGGAGCAGGTATGCACATCTCTCATATTGGTCAAGCATCTCTTCTCACTAGACATGCAAATAGGAGTCTTCAGCTTCCCAATGTTCTTAGAGTTCCATCTGTGACACATAATCTTCTTTTAGTTCCTAAACTCACACGTGATAATAATGTGCTTTGTGAATTTCATCCTTTCGATATTTTTATTAAGGATCGGGGCACGAGGGACATTCTTCTTAGCGGACGGTTGTGCCAGGGCCTCTATCGTCTGGAGCATCCTGGCGTCGCTCGCGTTTTCAGTGGAGTTCGGGTATCTCCGTCACAGTGGCATGCTCTTCTTGGTCATCGGCCACACCTATTGTCCGTCATATTTTGTGTCGTCATGAGCTTCCTAGCATGTCTAGTAATAAAGATGTAGCAGTGTGTGATGCTTGTCAGCAGGGGAAGAGTCATCAACTTCCTTTTTCGGAGTCTAGTCGTGAGGTGGAACATCCTTTAAAACTTGTATTTTTAGATGTATGGGGTCCCGCTCAGACTTCTGTCAGTGGTCACAATTATTATATCAATTTCGTTGATGCTTATAGTCGCTTTACCTGGATTTATCTTATCAAACGAAAATCTGATGTGTTCGATATTTTTGTTCAGTTTCAAAAACATGTTGAACGCCTTCTCAAGCACAAAATTGTTCATGTTCAGTCAGACTGGGGGGTGAGTATCGCAACCTCAACTCCTTCTTTCAGTCGCTTGGGATCGCTCACCGTTTAGCATGTCCATATACACATCAGCAGAATGGTTCAGTAGAACGTAAGCATCGTTACATT